GATTGTCTGTTGGTCTACGGACCGGGGGACTCATCGGTCTACGGACCGGTGAGAGGTCAGTCAACGGACCCTGCCTGGGATCTACGGATTCTGGATTTTGGATATAACCGGTTTGATATTATGTGGACACGGTCTGTAGAAGACTACGGTCAGTCTGGTTGCCTGAGTGGCAGTTGCGCTGGAGAGACTGTCGCTGAGTGAGTGAGGGCTGACAGAGTGAGTGCAAAATTTTGCACCCGCATACACTAACAAAAAAGTTGCACGTGGGTACATTGAGTCTGACACATGGTTTCCATGGAGTTTGATGTGTGTTAGTCGACTGAAAAAACAATGACAAGTTCCTTGAACAGTGGGTATTTCGCCTCATGTACTGGGAATTTTTCAAGCGCAGACAGGGAAAGAAACATTGTTGTGATTTGTATATCGCAGAGTCACTGCAGGTTATCTTTTCACAGACAGAATTCATTCGTCGATTGAGAAGGTTTTATGATAGTAGTGAGCCGCTGCCATGGACAACCAAGCTCGTCTGCTGTCGCAATTGGTCCCTGGGACGCTTGTCCTTCAACACCTCAAGACTTGTAAGTTGGAGACGTCAGACTGCGGTCTGTGTGCTGTTCACGAAGCTTGGAAATCATACAAGCGAGACTGGGTTCGGGCCATTCTCAATGACGGCGTCGTCACACTGGGATGCTCCACTTGCTGCAAGGCAGGTTTGGACGGTCCATGGGCGAACTTCCAACAGAAACCCGGGGCTATTCTGCGGAAGTTCTGCTTAGATAGACATGAAAAGTCGAGGGGTCATCAAGCAGCGTCCAAAAGTTTGTCCACGGACAAGGCTTTGCATCTGGCGCCGTCACAAGAGTCCTTCGAAGAACTTCTCACTCAGACTTTGCAAGGTCAGTCGGTGCGAGCTGGAGGCGTGACCTCAGATAAGCGCATCAAGATGCGCTGGGCCTTGACGGAAGCGATCCTGGCTAGGAACCGCCATATGTTAAAAGACTGTCAATCGATGACATTGCTTCGAGACGAGCGAAAAGGAAAGCTCTTAGTCCGCTTTCGAGCGGTGCTACGAGACCTCTCAACCGTAAGCGGTTGTCTCGGCTTAACGCCAGTCAGTGGTTCCTCAGACAGCATTGCTTTGGCTACAGACGCGTTGATGGAAGCATTTTGCGTGCCAATGAGGCAGCCACCTCGAGCCTCCTGTGTGGCAGAAGGTTCAGTAGACCAGGCCTTGCTTCAGCACTTGCGACAGACAGTGACAATCATTGTTACGGACGCGGCTGCTTCTGAACAGCTGGCAACTGATTTGCAGCGTGGCCCGAAGAGAGTTTGCAGATGAAAGCGGCCAGGCGACTAGACTATGGCAAACATTAAACTGGTCGGTCGTGACGCGGCTCACGCCAGCACGCGGCTCCTCAAGCGGCCCTTCCAGGCATGCTCCGAGTTGAAGAGCATCATGCACGAATGGCGCCACGGCTCTGACAGCTTTGCCCAGAAAGTCCAGCATAGCCCTGTGTTGGCCCAATGGTGGGCTGCTGCCTTGGAAAGTCCTACCAGCGAAGAATGCGACTTTGGAAGTCTAACATCTTTATCTGCGGCGAAGCACCGTTTTTCTTCCTACCTGAACCCTCTGTCCCGCATTTGCAAGAATATGCAGACGGTTTTCAAGGTTTGTTGCCGGCTACAAGCCATGAGAGGCTCGGAAGCTGGCTGGGCCATTCAGTTGTGCAGAAATTTCTCCGGCTTTAAAGCTGTGCTGCTCACGATGGCAGCTGATGCCTGCGCCATCAGCAATGATTATACTCGAGAGTGTGATCAGGAAGGGACGGACATTGCTCAGCTCAACTTGCGTGCTCATCAGTTCATTTCTTCAGCCAGGGCTTTGTTTGTGGAACGTCAGGTGTGCACCTTGCCGTCATTTACAAAGGATTTTTTGTCCAGAAAAGAGCCAGTTCTTGTGCAGCTAGATGGCTTCGTGTTGGAAGTGCGTGCGACGCCAGCTGACGTCGAAAAGGCTTTTCAAGTCATGCAAGACCTTCTTTTTGGCTTACACTCACAAGATTCAAAGCATTTCTTTCACTGGTTGATTCAATTTTACTTAATTGTCTTGCGTTTCGAACTTGTATCTGTCCTGCAGGAGTGGACTGCCCTTGCGGAAGAAGTGGTCGCCCATGAAATTCCCAGCTGGCATTTGTTCGCAGCCTTTGAAGTGTTTCACTTGCCAGATTCCAAGGAGTCTCGCAAGCTGAATGGCGAAGACTTGGAGCGGAACCTGCAAAGGTTGGCTCAAGCTTTCCATGTGTCCACGGACCAACTGAAACGAGAGTTCACACAAATGCAGCCGATTGCTGCTGCTCTCAAGAAATCCGCCAGTCACTCGAACCGGGAGGCTTGGAGGCAAGCAGTTTTGCGAGTGGGGCGACGAAGTCCGGCCCAAGCGAATACCACAGGCGCGCTGCGCACAGTGCTGGCAAGCTACCTGGCTTGGACAGCGTCTAGCAGTGGGGTGGAACAATTATTCAGCACCTTGAAGGCTTCGCCCACTGAGCAGTCCAAGTCAAGCGGCGCGGTTTTGGACACAGACAGGCGCACTGCAGTGGCCATGGGGGACTGTCAGGTTCGAGAGGCAAAGGTCGCCGCAGAAATCGTTTCAGAAGCTCGGCGCCTGTATTGCACTTTGCTTCGGTCTGGAATCTCTCGTACCAATACCCAGCAACGTTTCGACAAAGGTCGAACATCCACGACTGGCCGCAAAGGATCTCACGCTCAGTGGGATCGGGACAGGAAAGAATCCTTGGCCACAGCTTTGAAAGATTTGACCACGCCGCCGCGAGCAGCAACCGCTCCTATGCGCACAGAGTCTGCTGTAAAGGAGAGAGACTTGCAAAGAAGCAAGGCCTTCAAACGGAAGGCTGAGGCTCTGACTGATGGCTTGCTTTTGCCCGACGAAGTGACACCGGCTCTTGAATGCGCAGCCAAAAAAATGGTGAAGAACAACAAGCAAAACGATCGTCAGCGGAAGAAGAAACGTCTGGATTACCTCACGGAGTATGAGATGGCTTCCACAAAGAAGCCTTCAGGTTGGGCTTGTGATGGCTTGCAGGGTCCTGTTTGGTTGGATCCGCGCTTGGGTGAAAAGACGCAAGCTGTCCAGCAAAAATTGCACACTCTGGGCGTCACTTCTCAGTCTCAGGCCAGGCTTGCGTACCACTTGTTTCAATGTTTTTTGATTGTCCTGTTGGTTTTCTCCTGTCCCCTTTTTATTAACCGTTCCGGCCAGGACATGCAGCAGGCAAAGTTGCTGGTCCTTGCGAACTTTGGACAAGTTGGAGACAGTGTCAAGATCACGGCGGCTCTGCAAGGAGCCGTGGTTCTGTCAGCTGCTGTCCTCTTTGGCAAGGGAGGTGTCAAGCTGACCTTCAACGGGGGTCTCTGCATTGAGGCTGCAGTGTCTGTGACACAGGAATTCAAGGTAGAGCAGCCGGATCTTACAGCTTTGCTTCGGGTTGCTTGCGCCAATGGTTGGCTCGCGGTGAAAATGAACGATCTGAAGGGCCGTGGCAGAAAGCCCAGTTTGCTTTTACGGGGGAAAGACGAAGTCGTCCAGGGGTTTGGGAGGACAAGAGTCAAGCGTTTCAACCGGACAGAATTTGTTCGGTGGGTTACAAAGACCTGCTTGAATCAACAGCTAAGCGCTCGTGTGAGCGCGGCGTCCTGATTCGTAGCCAAGAGCTTGAACCTGCAGTGGATGGGGCAGCTGCGGGAAAAAAGTGTTGAACGACCTGGCTGTGAAATCGACAATATATAAATAACATGCTCTTAATTCATTGAATGTCGGGCTGTCAGGGTGTGTTTTATATTTCAAATAAATAGATGCTCGTCGTATTCTTTTCGGCTCAGCAAAAGGAAATGACGAAGTCCCGACTAAGACTAAGACCGGCCCCCCCCAAAAAGGTCCTGAAACAGAATGGCGCGGTGAGCCACGATGCCCTGCGGAGACAACTGGTGCGGGTCAATGCGTTGGCTGGAAACTGGCAGAGCCGATTACTGCCATACGAACGTAAGCCACAGAAGACAATCCGCACGGCCTCTGACTGTTCGGGCTACGGCTCAGACCTGATAGCCTACAAGTTATTAGGTCTGCAGGGACGTGTGCGTCCTGTGCAGATGTCGGAAAACGATTCGGTCAAGGTGGTGTTGCATGAGGCCGTGGCCAAGGCCTGTGGCTGGCATGCGCAGCCTGCCACGACGGGCGATATGTTTCTAAGGAAACCGGAAGATAGCAAGGCATCGGATGTCTATGTGGCAGGATTCCCCTGTCCATCCTTTTCTCGATTAGGAAAAGGAAAAGGCATTAACGACCAAAGAGGTTTCTTGACTTTGAAGGGGATGGAGCACATCGCCTTGACAAGGCCTCAGGTCATTGTCTTGGAGCAGGTGGCCTCAATTCTCCAAAAGAAGCATGAGAAGGTTTGGAACTTTGTGCTGAAGACGCTGAAGTCTTTGAATTATGATTATATTTACAAGGTCATGAACACTAGAGATCACGCCGTGCCTCAAAGCCGGCCGCGGGTGTATCTTCTGGCTGTGGTGCAAGAAGTTGGACAAGGTACTTTGACATTGCCAGAGAAACGCACCGTTCCAGTGGACTTGCATCATTTCCTGAAGAAGGACCAAGTTGGCACAGAAATATTGCGTTTGCCCAAATATGAACATATGCTGGGGCCACTGACGTGGCAGAAGGGCTTTGTGCTTGATGTGGGCGCAAGCCCAGGTTGGCAGCATGTTGTGCGGAATGCAGCGCCTTGTCTGATTCGGACAAGAATGGCTCAGCAAGGGTATTATATATCCAAACTGAAGAGAAGGCTTTTGCCGGAAGAGGCTGCGGTCTTGCAA